CCAAGTATTCCCAATCTCAAACCCAAAAATCACTACCCCCCCTCCCCCCCCAAAATCCCCAATGTCAAACCCACAAACCCACAAATCCCCAATCTCAATCCCTACCCCACGGCGAGCGGCGAAGGAGCGGCGTCGGAGCAGCGGAGGAGGAGCAGTGTCGTCGGAGGAGCAGCATCGGAGCAGCAGCAGCGGCGTCGGAGCAGCGGAGGAGGAGCAGTGTCGTCGGAGGAGCAGCATCGGAGCAGCAGCAGCGGCGTCGGAGCAGCGGAGGAGGAGCAGTGTCGTCGGAGGAGCAGCATCGGAGCAGCAGCAGCGGCGTCGGAGCAGCGGAGGAGGAGCAGTGTCGTCGGAGGAGCAGCATCGGAGCAGCAGCAGCGGCGTCGGAGCAGCGGAGGAGGAGCAGTGTCGTCGGAGGAGCAGCATCGGAGCAGCAGCAGCGGCGTCGGAGCAGCGGAGGAGGAGCAGTGTCGTCGGAGGAGCAGCATCGGAGCAGCAGCAGCGGCGTCGGAGCAGCGGAGGAGGAGCAGTGTCGTCGGAGGAGCAGCATCGGAGCAGCAGCAGCGGCGTCGGAGCAGCGGAGGAGGAGCAGTGTCGTCGGAGGAGCAGCATCGGAGCAGCAGCAGCGGCGTCGGAGCAGCGGAGGAGGAGCAGTGTCGTCGGAGGAGCAGCATCGGAGCAGCAGCAGCGGCGTCGGAGCAGCGGAGGAGGAGCAGTGTCGTCGGAGGAGCAGCATCGGAGCAGCAGCAGCGGCGTCGGAGCAGCGGAGGAGGAGCAGTGTCGTCGGAGGAGCAGCATCGGAGCAGCAGCAGCGGCGTCGGAGCAGCGGAGGAGGAGCAGTGTCGTCGGAGGAGCAGCATCGGAGCAGCAGCAGCGGCGTCGGAGCAGCGGAGGAGGAGCAGTGTCGTCGGAGGAGCAGCATCGGAGCAGCAGCAGCGGCGTCGGAGCAGCGGAGGAGGAGCAGTGTCGTCGGAGGAGCAGCATCGGAGCAGCAGCAGCGGCGTCGGAGCAGCGGAGGAGGAGCAGTGTCGTCGGAGGAGCAGCATCGGAGCAGCAGCAGCGGCGTCGGAGCAGCGGAGGAGGAGCAGTGTCGTCGGCGGAGGAGTAGTTTCTTCCTTTGATTTATCTGTTCGACCTGATTACAGTATGCTCTAGATAATATTTTGGTTGATTGATTTCATGTTTTAGAGAGGATCTATTCAATGAAGTTTGATTTTAGTTTTTTTTTTTCCAAAAAAAAATTTAAAATGTTTGCTTCGATGTTCTTAAAAAAAATTAGGCCTTTGTTTTGAATTTCCTCAGTTGATTAGCTTGTGATTTTGATGTTCTTTGCTTCGATGTTCTTTGTTGTTTGTTTTTGTTGAAATATATGCTTGTAAGTTGTATTTACCATCTACAGAGTTGTGGACCACAAAGAGCTTTCTTTGTGTGGTATAAACTAAGCAATATTTCTTTCCCATGTATTACTATACTGTGTCATTGCAGCTATTGTTGTTTCAGACAGATGGACCAACTGAAATGGAGAAGAATGTAAGGTCTTTCACGCATGTGGGTGTATAATAAGTTTAGAGGATAGCGTAAGTCTCATACTGGATGCTAAAATGTGATTATGTGTTGTTCTGTGACAAGTTGCAGGTTGAAGATATGCCACCGAATGCAGAACCTGATATTAATATTGAAGACCCCAGTACAGGAAACTTGGACAGTAATCAGAATCAGGAGGGTATGATTATTGCTTTATGCCTGTGTTGCAACTTGTATTTCCTAGATTATTGTTTAAACTATTGCCTGAACCTGCATGTAGTGTGATGTGTTTGTTAAATCAATGAGTACATATAAGTATCTCTCTGCAATTCTCTGATCATTTTGGGTTTCAAATTCATTGTGGCACTAAAATCTCTATGCTTGGTACTTACATTTATAATTTTGGTAATTCCTATTTCTCGTGATTACATTTTATCTATTTTCCCCTCCATCTAAGCGAAGTATCTTTTTGTGATTTGATAACCGTAAAATGGTATTGAAATGTATAATCAATGGGGATCAGAAGAGGGCAACAAGAATCTGGTATTGCGCAAGCCTACTCTTGAATGTGAATTGTGAGTTTGCTGCATATGTCTTCTGTTAAGCCACCAAATTTTCTAAATTCTTAATTTGTTAAGAAATGGGTATAACAATATATATTAAGCTCTACAACACTGCTTTCGTGCAGCCTCATCTCGTAGATGGAGAGGTGAATCAATTGAATTGAATGTGTGCACAAACACGTGCAGATGTGAACAAATTGAACTGAATGGGTGCACTAAAACACAAATAGAACGGAGTACATAACAACAAACATAATAAGGGGAACAAGCATAAATTAAGAACCCAAAACCTCCTGGAGCCAGAGTTTTGCATGTTAAGTTACCTAATTCTCACAAAAGCTTGGACTGTTAGATAATGGACTCAACAATGTATATTAAGCCAGCCAACACTTTCCATTAGAAAATGGCTTGTTGTTTAAGATATTATGGATCTCGTAGCCCAGTTTTGTTGGGGATTTTTTTCAGTTTCATTACGTTCTTTTTCTTCCTCTCTCTGATTAGCAGATGGAAGTGCAGTGTCACGCTTGTCTTTCTTCCCTTTATGTTAAGAACTACTATGAGTGGCTTTGGTATGCCAAATTGAAATATTTGATTCTTAGAAGATCATATAATACATGTATGTATATATTATATGGCGGATGAAGGGAGTTTACTATAATTTTTTCCTTTTTAAAATATCATTAACTGCAAAAATAAAAAAGAAAGTGTTTTGTAGTAGTCTACCTGTCGTATCATTATGAACCAATGGTATCGGTTATAATTGATACGTATTTTGAATTGGTTAATGCATGCTTGTCTATATTTAAACCTTGGACCGTTATGTTCTTTGAACTGTCACCTCAAAATTTAAAAAATTTGTCTTTTACTTTGAACACCGACCTTAATCTCAATTCTATTATTATCTCTAACATTTGAAACCCTAATCCTAGCACTTACTTTCACTTTTGGCAGTCCCTCCCCCACATTTTTTGCCACTCCTCAACCCGTATAAATAAAGTCAATTTTATCTATCTTTTATACAACCTCATTAATTGGGAGTAACTCGTGCACATGTTATGATGGTACTCTAAGAATATTGAATCGTTTTCTTTTATTGTTGGAGCCACATTATTTTCTTGTTTGTTTAATTTTTTTTATTATTATTATTTTAACAATTTTAAGAGATTGATTTAGTGAATAAGATGGTCTCTTATTAGATATTTGAGTTCAAGTCTTACCATTATGCTATACAACAATTTTGCATTTGATTTTGTTCCAAAGAGCTTCTTGCAGCCGCAAATGCTGCTAATAATGCTCAAGCCATCATCACAACACTTTTGGAGGAGTATGAGAACATTTTTGATGTAAGTTGCTCTTAATGTGATTTTTTATTTTGTTTAATAAAGGTGCAGCTGTTTAAATACCTTCTTTGTGATTTCTATTTCTATTTCATACATCATGGGTCTTGGGGCATGTACATGTGTCCATTTTCTCACTAGTCCCATTTTGTATGAGATATATGTGTCGTTTGGTGTAGCTTATAATGCTGTTTATAGTTTTATTTTTTTTTAGTTAAATATGATGTTGTTGAAAAAGTTAGTGGAGACAAATGGAAATCAATGGTAGAACATGCGAAAGTGTCTTATTTGGAAAGAGGCTTGAAAGAGAATGAGAAAGACACTTTTGTGAAGTTGGTGCAAATTGAACCATAACCTATACTTTTATAGTGAGGAACCTCAAGAAGTAAAAATTTTATGGTGCTCCTATTCAGTGAGGAACCTCAAGAGTCCAAACAGAACAAGTAATAAATAATTGGGTAGAGCTGAAGAAAAATTAAATTCTATGTTTATTTCATTACCCAATCATTAATCAAGGATAAAGAGGGCAACATTTTGGATTCACTTGGACATAGCCCAGCCACATGTGCTTGTCACACATACACAGTGAGATAGAGAATAAATGTTACTTTAGTTTATAATATACTGAAAACTATGAAACACAAAGTCACCAAGGAAATGTTCTCAGATTGCTTTTTTAGATTCATTTCTGTACTTCCTTATGTGCTCTGAGACTTGTGATCTGAAACCCATGAAGCTTTGAATGGATATGGATTGAGGTTTTCTATTCTAAGGCAAGTCTTAATCCTTTAAGCAGATTGTGTTGTTAAAATAGTGTTTTGGGGGATGCTTTGCATTTTCGCCCCCCGAACCCCTTTTTTCGTCTAAGTTTATGACTTTTTAACTCTAACTCCCAACGTATGTATCCTATTTACGTACCGTCTGTCCCAACGTGTCACATTTGTCACTGGGAAGGTTACCATTACTTTTAAACACATATTCGAGTTACTATTCAAAATACCACTGTTGAAGTTTACATGTTACTCTAAACGAAGATTGAAATTCGCTATGTTTTTTTAACATGTCTCTACTGTAGTTAATCTTAATCAAGTACATATTTTAAATACAAGTTCATTGTTAAGAAAACACAATACCAAACTCTAGTAACTACACAAGAAATCATTAACCCCAAAAAACTCAAAAATTGATGACATTTTCAACTTTTCAAGCGAACATATTTAAACAAAGTAAGTGTGACATTAATGAAATTGTTCTTACCAAAAAACAAACGCCGGATGCCCAACTTAGATTCCCAAGAGTTGTGACAGTTTGGCGACTACGTTATTGAGATGCTCGACCTTTGTATTTATCTCGTCCCTTGCCTTTTGTCCCTCCTCCCGCTCTTTCAACATCTCATTGGATAATTGAATGCGCTCCTCTCGTTCTTTCAACAGCTCATTGTAACATCTCTCGCGCTCCTCTCGCTCTTTCATTAACTCGTCATGATCCTTTTGCCGCTCCTCACGAAGTGCCTCCACCTCAGCTTGCATTGCCTCCATGTCCTTATCGTGTGCTCGTGTTGCAAATATGGTAGACGGTTGTGGGCCACTCCCAAATCCAAGCAAGTACCTTTTCTTCTGTCCAAGCACTTGCCTTGAAATCTCCTCTTGTGTCAATGGCGTCCCCGACTCGATGGCAGCCGCTTGTACATTGACCATCTCTTGCTGTCATTTCAAATAAATAAGACGAAAAAAACTTTGGCAACATATATGTATTATTGGGTACTAAGTACAAGAAAATATTGAATACATATATTTCCTTGTCACATACTTACATGCAGCTCACGGCATTTCAGATGGATCCAGTCATTCGTTTTCTTTGAAGTGTGGCTGTCCTCATAGAACTTTGGGAAATCCAACTCTCCATCTTTTGCTACCTGTTAACACATCAATGTATAAATCAATGACACTTTATGCACCAAATAGACAAATTTCCATGAACAGATTTTTAAACAAATTGCTGGACAGATTTGGAGACAGATTTGGAGTCAGATTTTTAAACAGATTTGCTGCCAGATTTTCAGACAGATTTGCAGCCACATTTGGAAATAGAGGCAGCACTATTCTAGTTCGAATTCAAAGAGATTATCATTAATAGATTTATATTTTCCAACAGATTTTTGCCAACACATTTGTTCAGAATTTCTCAAACAGATTATGTCCAACAGATTTTCGCACATAGCCACTTATAATCACTTCAAATTATGTGTATTATAACATGTGTATGTACAGGAATATCTATTTTTTGTGAATGTATTAACTTAAATCTAAAACAAATAGAGCTACAAGACTAATGATCTTAAGTGAAAAACAGAGTACAGTTTAGATTTTAGGCAGTATATACAGTTCAGATTGTGTATCATAGTGTAGACAGATTTAGTTCAGATTGTGTATACTGTATTATAGTGTAGTATAGTGCAGACAGATTTATAAATCTAAACTATACACAATCTGTATTATAGTTTAGATAGATTTTTAGAGTATAGTTTAGATTTTGTAGTATAGTGCAGTATATATAGTTCAGATTGTGTATTATAGTGTAGACAGATTTATATATACCGTATTATAGTGTAGACAGATTGTGTATTATAGTGTATTATAGTGTAAACAGAGTATAGTTTAGATTTTGCGAGACAGATTTCGAATGAAAGACAGAGTATAGTGTAGACAGATTTAGAATGCAAACATGTGGCAAGGGTATCATTAACAGATTTTTTCCAGACAGATTTTTTGCAGACAGTAGATGTTTACTAACAGAGTTTAACATATATATATATATATATGTGTGTAGCAGAACATAACATTTTTCATATCCAAACAACATATAATGAATTCAAGTTTAAAAAAAAATCAAACTCACCATAGCAGCCATTGCGATAGGAAATGAGCGAGACCCATTGGTATGATTGAACGGCAATTGACTCCTATTACTCTTGCCAGCTTTTGACCGTTTCTAAAAATAAGTCAAGCAGATAAACAATTTTTTGGTCAATATTAAGGCATATCACATTTTCACATAGATGTATGTACTCTATCTAGTCTATTATTTTACCTGGTGAGATGCATCTTGCCATGCCACATCGATCAAATGCTTCCAATTATCTAAACTCACCCCTACGGGCGGATGACCATAGATCTCATCACGTGGAAGTCCTTCTAACAATTCGAACTCTTGCTTCAAGGTGTACCTCCAATCTTTGTACAACTCATACGCCTTCTTATTCACAATCTCCTGTGCTTGTAAGTCATTGTGGAAATCGTCTCCAATTTGAAACTTGTCCTACATGCAAAACAAATTGAAATAGTAATCATTACATATTAGTCTTTCTTATTACTCACATAATACAATTACGTATTGTGGACAAGTAATATTAGTTACAGGAACTCCTTGGATGACGACAGCTTTTGTAGTCTCATCAAGATCCAGCCATGACTTCACATCTTTCAAAGGGCACAAGGTTCTAATTTGAATTCCTAACTCGTTAGTTGCTGGAGTGGCATACTTGCCAGTCATTGCATTCAACCCACGATCGATGTGAACATAACATTTTTCCCCTTTTTTGACTCGAATTATTTTTTGTATGCCCTTGCCAAGTGTCGGTCCGCGTACACGTAGGGGCTTCGAAGTCCCTGTTAACAACATAACATCATGAAAATTGCCTAAAATTTGGCTACAAAAAAACAGTGGCAATGGCATGTGCTAATTGACAAATTTTATACACTTTAATCTTACCTACGCCACTCGGCTGCATTTCGGATGGGGCTTGTGTCTCATCAAAATCAACCATTGGTTGGCTAGTGACATGATGAGATGGTCCCACATTTGATCGGACGGGTAGAACAGGAGACGGAGCAACGGGTGATCCTAAAGGAATAGCAGCTGGCGAGTCTGTTTCTAGCTGCGTGAGTGTCTTCTTCCGAAGCCGACCAGTCTTTAAGCCAGGAACCACTTTCCAATCTGCAACAACACAAGTAACACTATATACATGAACTAGACAAAAATAATGCTTGATTATTGCAGACAAAAATAATACATGAACTAGACAAAATTA